AATCAAAGCCATTTTCTTTTACTTTATCTTTATTTCACCCGCCCAGGACACGCTCCTCCCACACCTCGCTGCTGCCGCTGCTTGTTCTGGTCTGAACACTAGTGCGTTCTTCGGTCTGAACATAGAGCGTCCAGTGAGAGACGTTTTGCGCTTTTTGGCCGCTCAAAACGTGTTTGGTGTGAACGTAGCATAAGAACCACAGCATCCAAAGCAATAAGTCAGGTGATGGGGCACATGACCCTTTATGAACTATATAGCTAAACAAGCCTATTGTTAAGCGATGGCCCTCTTTTGCATGTGACTAAATTGAGCTAATCAAGCCTATTTTTAGGCAATGGCCCTCTTTTGCATGTGACTAAGCTGTTTGTCCAGGTGGAGGCAGTGCTTATAAGGTTGATTTCACCTGAAACTCATCAGACTGAAGAAGTCTCTTGGATGAGGGACGAAATGTTTCACTAAAGAAGAACCCATCCAGAGGACCTACTTATTTTTTTCTTTTTAAACAAAAAAATATTCTGCCAGTCTGGCACTACTCTCTGCTGGCCAGCAGAGGGCCCCTCTTTGCCCAAGGGCCCCTGGACACGTGCCCATATTACCCATATTGTAGATCCGGCCCAGGTTAAAAGACATCCTGATCAAAAATAACACCAAGCTTCTTTACATTAGAACTAGAGGCCAGGTTAATGCCATCCAGAGAAGGTGAAAGGCTGCAAAGTTGATCCCTAAGATGTTCAGGTCCAAAAACCATAACCTCTGTCTTATCTGAGTTTAGAAGCAGAAATTTAAGAGTCATCAATGTTTTTATGTCTATAAGACATGCTTGTAATTTAAGCAACTGGTTGGATTCATCAGGTTTCATGGATAAATATAACTGAGTATTATCAGCATAATAATGGAAATTTATCCCAAGGTTTGATAACTTTACCTAATGGAAGAATATATAAAGTGAAGAGGATTGGTCCAAGCACTGAACTCTGAGGAACTCCCTGACTAACTGTAGTGTAAGAAGATTCATTAACATTAACAAACTGAAATCTATCAGTTAAATAAGACTCAAACCATTTTAGAGCTGTTCCTGTAATCCCAATATCAAGTTCAAGTCTACGTAATAAAATATTGTGATCAATTGTATCAAATGCAGCACTGAGATCCAACAGGACAAGAATGGACACAAGTCCACTGTCTAATGCTACGTTCACACCAAATGCGTTTTGAGCTGCGGGAGCAGCCGGTTTACATGCAAAGTAGTCAATGAGGACGTGCCTCTAGGGGTCGTGCGTCGCTTCATGTACGTTTTGGGTGGCGTGCAAGATGGCGGAAGCATTTTCCACGCATGTGGTGCTGCGGTAGCCGCCGTCGCCCGAGCTGCCGCCCGAGCCAGAGAGCAAATATCTGAACTTTTCGCCGCTCGACGCGTCTCCCACTGAAAACCGAAACAGACGGACTGGAGATCTTTACCTGAAATTGAAGTTGGATTTTCT